TTCGAGTTTACAATACGTAGACGCGTTAAATAATAAATAGGCTTCGAGGCAAGCACCAACGAATCGCACGTATCCGACCGAAATTCGAGTGCAATTTTTTGGAATATCGAGGGAGCCGTGAAAACATTTTATTTGAAACTTCGAAGCTGTACTTTTGCGGGCTCTGCGAGTTGTGATACGAGTTCGGCGATGTAACGCGCGGTATATGTATAAAAATGTGAAGGCTGAACCAAATTACGACGATGAAAACGTGTCGTCGTGGAGGAGAAGGGATTCTTTTCTACATAATAGAGAATTCTTCATCTTAATTCAAGGCTCGACTTTTAATTCTAGGTGATGTAAAAGTTTACAAGTTCGGCGAAACTTTAACTTCTCATTTTCACGTAATGGAAAAGTTTCCAGCGTTAACGTAGTATCCGATATTGTTCCATGTTTTATTTCGCATAAAAATCCACGGTCTACTCGTCATTATTTATCCGAGACGTTGTCAGACGCGTCTGTATTTACTGTATTCAACAAATGTACAGCTCTTTTACACAACCAAGATCCACACCAGAAAATGTTTAAATTTTCGTCACAGGCTCGGATAAAAAAGTTAAAAAGCGAGAGTTTTTAACTTGAACGAGAATCGCAACTCATAGCGGTTTTACTCGCAGCCGCGGAGTTTAGCCGCGGATGCGGATTTTTGTCGCGGATGCGGTTTTTTGCTGTGGATGCGGATTTTTGCCGCGTGTGCGGATTTCTGCCGCGGATGCGGATTTTTGTCGCGGATGCGGTTTTTTGCCGCGGATGCGGATTTTTGCCGCGTGTGCGGATTTTTGTCGCGGATGCGGTTTTTTGCCGCCGATGCGGTTTTTTGCCGCGGATGCGGATTTTTGCCGCGTGTGTGGATTTCTGCCGCGGATGCGGATTTTTGCCGCCGATGCGGTTTTTCGCCGCGCATGCGGTTTTTTGCCGCGGATGCGGATTTTTGCCGCGCGTGTGGATTTCTGCCGCAGATGCGGATTTTTGCCGCCGATGCGGTTTTTCGCCGCGCATGCGGTTTTTCGTCGCGCATGCGGTTTTTTGCCGCCGATGCGTTTTTTTGCCGCATGTGCGGTTTTTTGCCGCGTGTGCGGTTTTNGATGCGGTTTTTTGCCGCGGATGCGGATTTTTGCCGCGTGTGTGGATTTCTGCCGCGGATGCGGATTTTTGCCGCCGATGCGGTTTTTCGCCGCGCATGCGGTTTTTTGCCGCGGATGCGGATTTTTGCCGCGTGTGTGGATTTCTGCCGCGGATGCGGATTTTTGCCGCCGATGCGGTTTTTCGCCGCGCATGCGGTTTTTCGTCGCGCATGCGGTTTTTTGCCGCCGATGCGTTTTTTTGCCGCATGTGCGGTTTTTTGCCGCGTGTGCGGTTTTTTGCCGCGGTTGCGGATTTTTGCCGCGGATACGGTTTTTTGCCGCGAATGCGGATTTTTGCCGCAGCCGCGGATGCGTCGAATTCGCGCGCTATTGTTCGAAGGCGAATTCGTCGACTTCCGCGGAAACGGGCTTATCGGAGCAGCGATGAAAACCGCGGCGAACCTGTAACGACCGCGTGACTGGTAACTTTTTCGCGAGCCTTAATGGCTGATCCACGGCTATCGCATCGTGGCGCAAACCGCGGGGAACGTCGGTAATCATGTCGGGCATTAGTGTTTGCGGACGATTGGGCAGCCGGAAACGGGCTGGAACGGCGGAAGCCGAGGCGCGAACGATTCGTCGAACTGTCCGCCGACAATCGCGGCTGTAACAATACGCGCGCGCGAAGTATCGCCGACGCAGATTTTCGCGTTTCAGCGTCGATGACGGATGTGCCCGGCGAGCGTCGCCGTTTTTACGAGCGACGGAAACCTCCGAGCCGGAAATTACGCGGAAAGCACTGCTGCCACTGGCAATTATCGAGGCACGAAGCTCCGCCGTCGCTCCTGCTAGAGATTTCAAATTCCAGCGTATATTAGCTCTCGCCCGGTTAACACCGTCCCAAACAGGGATTTAACTTTTTGGGAATCGTCGCGTTTCACCTGGCAGCTCGGTCTCGCGTGAATTGCGGCAGTTATGCGCGTGCCAGAACATTCTCACGGATTTCGGAAAAACGCGGAAATCTTGGCGCGTAATTGCAATTCGGAGGAAGTTTGAGCTCGACGCGTCTGCTTGCGACGATCGATTTGCAGGCGTTAATTGTGCGCGTTGCTGGAAACAATATTATAATATTGCAATATCACTATACCTTGTAGTAATTAACCAGTGAGCTGTAGCGCCTCCATTTCAGTTCATTTTTTGTATCAAATATAGAGGAGAGATTTTTCTGCCGGTCGCAACGGTGTCTATCGATCATTAACCGCAAAGTAGGCCGTGGAATTTCGAGGCATCGATTTCAAGGCCTCGAAATCCTCGACGACGGATGTTCGAGCAGAGATAACAGGCGCCGCGCGATAAATTCGCGGCGCATTTTTGTTTTATACGGGGACATTCATTAACCCGTCGGCGGGGGATGAAAAATGCAGCGGCCGCGCGAACGGGCGCAAAAGTGCTCGGCTTTGGCGGACAGTGACGGCGAGGAAACGGGGAAACGAGGAAACAGGAAATCGGGGATTGGAACGGAGAGACGGGGAAAAATGCGGAGGAAAGAAAATGCAGCAGCGGAACGAACGAGAACGCCGAGTGCTCGGAGAAATGCTGGGAGGAAAGTGGACCGGGAACCGGGGAAACTGCCCTTTTAGGAGAAATTTCGGCTCGGATGACGCTGATGAACGCGCCAGGTGAACGTTCTCGAGGGCGCCTTTCGGAGGGAAGAAGAATCTGGCGGCGCTGGTTCCGGAGTGCAGGCGAATCCCTCTGTGAATCCTTTCCGAAACGCTGACGGAAAATATCGTTGGACGAGTGGGTGCTAGGCGCGCCCTCGAAAGGCGCGATTTCGTCGAATTCAATTTTAATCGTAGCCAAAGCGAAGTTCGAAACCCGTCCTCGGCGTGCAATCTTTGTTGCAACGCTGCGCTGTGGCACCTTTTGCACGATAAGTTGGCCAGAATGCAGTTTTCGATGTGTTTATGCAGTTTTAGAAAGCTGTGATGCTTTGTACTGTGAATATTAAAATTATATTCACTGTAAATATAATTTAATTTCAAACGATATTTGTAATTGATTGTGCTGTTAATTATTGCATTGTTTATGAACATATTGTTTGCTGCAGATCTTATTCAACTTTATACAAAAATCAGGGTTTATAATATTATAATTATATAATCAGGATTTATAATTTTATGATTATATAATCAGGATTTATAATATTATGATTATATAATAAGGATTTATAATATTACGATTGTAAAATCAGGACGTTGATTTTAAAACGAATCAACAGTTTTGTTATAGTTAATTACAGAAATGACTCCAAATCGAGATCGTTGCATTAAATTTTATAGTCCAATGATACATAATTATTATAGTCAGATATCGGAAAATGATTGGCAGTCACGAAAACTAAGTTAAAAAATAATATTCACGTCGGTAGTGTCTGGTTCTTTCAGTATCGAATTTTTGCGTTTTCGATAACACGTTTAATTTTAGCAATCTCGCCAATACGAAGAGCGCCGAGTTTTATAAAAATCGCACGGAGTTAAATATTCCGGCCAACTTTTTCGGGAAAAGGTTCCACCGTGCGCCGTCACGCCGTGAAGATATTTTTTGGGCAAACAGAAATTTGCTAGCTGCGGGATTTAGGTACGAGAATATGCTGAAAATGCGAGAGCTGGCAAAAGTCGCATCCTCTGGAATATAATTCTCGCTCGTTTTTAGAGCGAGTCGATCGTGAAAATTTGTTCGTCGCGCGCGCATTCGAGTTTGCAATACGTAGACGCGTTAAATAATAGATAGGCTTCGAGGCAAGCACCAACGAATCGCACGTATCCGACCGAAATTCGAGTGCAATTTTTTGGAATATCGAGGGAGCCGCGAAAACATTTTATTTAAAACTTCGAAGCCGTACTTTTGCGTGCTCTGCGAGTTGTGATACGGGTTCGGCGATGTAACGCGCGGTACATGTATAAATATGCGAAGGCTGGACCAAATTACGACGATGAAAATGCGTCGCAGTGGCGGAGAAGGGATTCTTTTTTACATAATAGAGAATTTTTCAGCTTAATTCAGGGCTCGACTTTTAATTCTGGATGCTGTAAAAATTTACGGCTTGGCCGAGCTTAAACTTTTCATTTTTACGTAATGGAAAAGTTTTCAGCGTTAACGCGGTATCTGATGTTTTAGGTTTTATTTCGCATAAAAATCCGCGGTCTACTCGCCATTATTTATCCAAGACATTGTCGTTTAGTCGACAACTGTAACACTGAGCATTCTAATAGAGTGTCCAGTGGACAACGATATCAATAAGAAAAAGTAACAATGCCCAATACCGTTAAAAAATGTTAGGACAACTACAAACAAACAGCAAAAGTTATGTCATACCTAGAAGAAATCAAATTGTTCAGCGAAATTATATAATAACTTAAGGAGCTTAGATCGAAAAAATAATATATTATAATAATATATTATTATATAATTATATTAATAATAATATTATATTGTACATATTACACTACATGTAACCCTAAAAACGTTACCCTACAAATGGCCGCTAATCGCCACTAATCAGATGCGACGTGAAACAAATGAAATAAAAATGAAAAAATTACGTTTGAAAGTGAAACGAAATTTCCAAAGTTCGCCCAAATAATTTGCTCTTCGAGCGTCGCGATTCAGGGGGTCGAGACCGAATAAATAAAATAAGGACCACCCAAGTTCGTTGTCCTCCCTCGGACCGCATCCCTCGGACGTCGCTCTTCTCGTGCAGCACGTTCCGTTTTGGGACACGTGACCCGCTAGAATCGCGATCGGTACCACTGTGCGAGGTTGTCGAGGGGGTTGGGCGCCGGGAACCGAGGGGTTGGAAGCGCCGTCGGCCCGTAGTGTCTCCGCAGACAGCAACAACGCCGCCACGCAGCCTATCAGGCCGTGCTTCGCGCTCTCTTGCGCATCGTTTCCTCAACAACCCCCGACTGATTTTCCCGCGCAACCCCTTCGACTCGGCAGCCTCAGTTGCGCGCGTTCCAGGCTGCCAAAACGTTCTCCGGGGCACCGGAAATGCCCGAGAACACCGAGAGAACCTCGCCGAGTATCATCCCTCGACCCTGTTCCATCCCCTAACAGAACTCTCGAATTAATTATCAGCCCTCCGCGTAAAGCTGATCGACGCGCGGAGTGTCCGAGTGCGCCGACCACGGAACGCCGCCGGATTTCGGGTCGAATTCTCCTCCGCAGTGATTAGAATAATATCTCGATGAATCGGCGCGGGGGAGCTTCGCCAGGGGGTTGTTCCGAGGGAGGAAGATAACCGGCGCGCGGCCGGTTCCTCGGGGTGCGATGGGTCACAGTGAATTCGAGGCAGATCCGAACGACAGCTTCGTCTGGTGGAGTGTGTTTTCTTGAGCCTCGTCGACTGCACAGTTCGTTTGTTCTCTCTCCCTCCCTCTCTCTCTCTCTCCCCCTATTTCTCTCTCTCCCTCTCTCTTTGACATTTCGAAAGAGCAGAATTTTGGTCGGTTAAATGGTCCCTCTGTGAGGGTGTATGTGCGAGTAAATTACGAGTGTCACGTTCCGCGGGGAAACAGGCTGGAACGATGGATGCCGCGCGAGCCGGTTCGTTTGATGATTGAAATCTGCAGGAGAGATCGAACGATCGCGTAACGAATCGACGGAAAAAGCTCGACGGTGTGCAACCGTTGCAACGCTTGCCACGGTACGAACGCTGACGTTCCGATAGCTTTCGGTTGTTTCGTGCCGTCCGGAGGACCGTTCACGGGCTGATCCGTCTGTCAAATAGGGGATCGACCGGATGTGTCCACTTTTTACGCGACACTGTCATCGGTTAAGGTGAGTTTCTCGTTTGATTTTCCGGTAGCTGTTCTTTTTTTCTTTTTGCGCTGTTCAGGGACGCGGGATTTTTTAATTGGCGCTCGCGTCGGTTATTTATGATAGGGTTAGGTTCGCGATGGGAGTTCGGTTTCTGGGAATCGTCAGGGGATTTTCGGCATCGTTTTTTTCTGATGCCGTCCAAACATGTGGTACCGAGTTTTTGGTAACTAGGTATATTCGACGTTCGTTTTACTTTATTTATTATATTTTTATTTGTTACATTTCTATGTATTAGATTTGTTTTATTGCTTGTTGCATTTATAGAAATGCGAAGGCGTTTTTTAGTGAGAGCTTATTATTGGAGAAACGGTTTATAGAACTTCGGGATTGTTTAGGTTCTTTTGACATATGGTTCGGAAATTTTAGTGACAATTAATAATTTTCTATTTTAATCATTTTTCTATCGCCGCGGTATTTAGAATTGGACTGCAGATTTTTATGCACCACAAAAAGTGCCCGTTCGTTCAAGAAACTGAGATTCGTGAAGATGTTAAAACACAATTATACTTCACTGTAAATTTTGCTAGGAATAAGAAGAATATTTAAAAAAGCTCTCGTTTCTTCGCTTTCTTATCTGAGCTTATAAATGAAAATTTAAAAAATGCATTTGGCGCTTCTCGGCGACCTATAATACGCGTCTCGAAAATTTCATCGAAATCGGTTGACTGCGACACGAGCTGTAAGCAATTAAAGCTCGCGAAAATCGCGTTTCTCCGTTATTATATTGAATCGCGTACAAAAGCAGAACGAATGGCTGCAATCGCCAGGCAAATTGGCCAGCAATCTCGATTATCGACGACCGAAGAAACGTTCGAATCGATGGTCCGACACGACAGCCAAACAATATTTGGAAAAATGTTTCACTTTACTTCGGTTGGGGGGTGGTGCGGGTAGAGAAAAAGGAGATCGTCTTATTCTTCCAGCATCATGGGAGAAAAAGTCGGCAATCCGGTCGCCCCGCATTAACCGGATGGGCGGTTCGACTTTTCAATTAAACCGGGAACGATAAATTCACGTCGACAGGACGAAAACGATACTGCGAGAACGATCGAACTTTTCGCTGGCCGTGCAAGAAATCCGAGGAATCGCGCGGTTGCTTCGGCACGGCGATGACGGGCCAGGGCTTTCTGTCCCTCGTCGATGTCCGGTCCCATTGGATTTTGATTACGTTTACCTGGCAGTAGTCGCCTCTAACTGACGTCCGATGGCAAGTTGCCAGGGCCGAGGGAGATGTAATCGAGTTCTGTAATTGCGAGACGAGTTAAGGAATTTTATCGCAGCTTTTAATCGAGGCTTTGATAGTTTCCAAACGAATTGCGAAATTTCCACCTGTTACCTAGTCAATTGGTAACAAGCGATCACCGATAGACTTGGTAATATTAATTAATTCAGTGGTTTACTCTGTTTTTAGATAAACAATCTAATTTTCTATAATGTGTAAACAAAATATATATATATATATATATATATATATATAAATTTTATCCATTTCGTTGCCGAATTTCTAAATATTAGTCGATAACAAGGATACGATTCCACGTCGTACATGGGATCGATTAGACCATTTTCATAATTATTAGGTGGTAATTGAAATTAATACAGTTTTTACATAAATCCACGTATTTTGATACATTAGCTGACGAATTAGAAATTAAATTACTTGCGACACATTAATATTGAATTATTCAATATTTTCTATAGCAGTATACTCCATAAAATAAATAAAAAGATAACCTTGACAGAATATTGAATTATTTAATATTCTCCATAGTATACTCCGTATCGAATTATTATGACTCGTCGACTTTTATAAATCTGTAAATACGAATGCATAGTAAAATGCGCGTAGCCGCGTGAATAATAAAGTTCACGTAACGAGAAAAAATTGTCCGTAATTAAGTAAATAACAAAGCGTTCCCTGCTGAATTAATAGCACCATTTTCTCGGCTATTAGATAGCAAACGAGTTCAGCATATTTTCCGAAATTGAAGAAGTTTCGCCCCCTCCTCGTTGAATTACTAACGTTAAGTAATTCATAAACCGTTCATCCGTTGCACGAATTGCATCATTTTCTCGGCCGTTAGACGGTAAATAAGTATAGAGCATATTTTCCGATTAAATCGATCGATTAATTCCGTTGCCGAGTTACTAACAAACTTAAATCGTTAATAGTTGATTCGTACATTTTCTTACTCGTCGGCTCGCAGCTTTTCAAGCTCGTAATCGAGCTTCGCATAATTTCTAAGCGAATTAGAGGGAATGCCAACCTTCTCGCTGCTTGAACCGCGAAATCTAAAAATGTATCTAGAGTGGGTGTAAGAACGATGCAAAAAAAATCTTATCTTGTACAATATAGGTTAATGCTAAAGGTTCCTGGGGGGGACCAAAAATAATTGCAATTTGCAAGAAAATTTCGCACGCAACACGCGACATTCAGGGTTGTTCGTTTACACCGACAATAAGCTTCTGTATTAAACACCGCTGGATCACGGTAATTGTCGTCGGTAATGACACGCTAATTTTTGCGAAACGATTTCAATAAATATTTGAAAATGCAACACAGTTGACGCTCGGGTGACAAAGTTTCGGTAAATACATTAATAGAAATGTTTCAGAAAGCTGAAACAATGCTGCGAGCTTATTGATCTCTGCAGCACACTTATTTTTATACATACATTATTGAGCCATAAGCACCGAGTCGTTCGCATGCTTTCATTTTTCGAGCAAATTTCCTTTTATTTTTGAGGGGGTCGAAAAAGCATTCGATCCAATATTTTAACAAGTAAAACGTAGGACTTCTGCGACTCACAAGATTTCAAAGCTACCAAAAAAAGTCAAAATATTCTTTTTCACATCTCTATACATTAAACAATCGTTTTTCATTTTATACTAGGTTGTAGCTTCGTCGAAAAAGCTTCGTCCATCAAAGAATGTTAGGACAAGTACAAACAAACAGCAAAAGTTATGTTACACCTAGAAGAAACCAAATTGTTTAGCGAAATTATATAGTAACTAAAAAAGTCTAGATTAAAAAAATAATATATATAATAATAATAATAATATATTATTATATTACACCACACATAACCTTACAAACGTTACCCCACAAGCGATCTTTAATTGCCACTAAGCAGTCGCAGCACTAATTAAATATAATTAAACAAAATAATAAGATTACAATTTGGTTTCCATTCGAACGATGCGAATAATAGAAGCTTTCGGAAACCGGTCCGCAAACAACAAGTGAGAGCTGTTTAGCTGGAGTCGCGTTTCCACAGCGCCGGTAACTTCACTTTTCTCTCGTAATCTCAATTATCGCCACAAAGGGCTGCGGCCGTGATTAAACGACGAGTGTCTTCGAATTTCGACGATCTATTACAAGAACCCTGGAATGGAGAGGCAGATAGCCGGTAATGCGACTCGCTTTGAGACGCTCTCAGCTCGTCGGGTTGCGAGGCGTCGTCGTCGTCGTCGACGTCGTCGTCGCGAACCGACGCTTCGACTCGATCCTCCTTATGGTTAAAAGCGTACGTAAGGGCGGAGATGTCCCTCGGGCCGCAACGTTGCGCAATTAGCAGGCTCGAATGGAAACTAATGCCTACGATTTTATGCTTCGCGAACGGCTGACTGCGAGGACTCGCTTGCAACTTGATGATTCTATCAGGTGTGCTTAGGGTGTACAGTATTTCTCCCTAATTTCTCCCTAATTTCTCCCTAATTTCTCCCTAATTCGCGCTCGGATCGCGCACGAAAGTGGACAATTTGAGAAGCGGAGATACGATTATCACTTATCTACCAGGTGTGCTTAGGGTGTACAGTAATTTCTCACTAATTTCTCCCTAATTCGCGCTCAGATCGCGCACAAAAGTGGACAATTCGAGAAGTGGAGCTACGATTATTAATATAAATAATATATAATATTATTATATATATTACAATATATTATTAATATAATAATATATATTACAAGTTGAGAAGTGGAGAGTACTTATCTACCAGGTGTGCTTAGGGTGTACAGCAATTTCTCCCTAATTTCTCCCTAATTCGCGCTCAGATCGCGCGATCACAAAACTGGACAATTCGAGAAGTGGAGCTACGCTTATTAATATAAATAATATATATTACACACTACATATCATTAATATAGATAATAAATAACCTAAATAAATTGTCCATTTTTGTTTCCAAGCGGAGCGTCAATTAGGGAGAATTTTTCCGTAACTCAGCATTCGTTTCAACGCAATCGCACGCGTCCGCCGGTACATCGAATTGCGAAAGATAGCGAGCGACTGTTGTTAATTAAGCGCTCCCTAGCGTAACGTAATTATTACAGGAACCTGTTACGAGCTTAAGTGGATTTAACGGAGCTTCGTAATTCAGTGTTTCGTTCGATTGTTCTCCGCGGGAGAAGTTCTTCTATTAAGTAGGTTTTACTTCTTCGAGCATAACCCTCCCAATAACTTATATCGCGTTACAACCACAACCGAGCGGATTCGAGCACCAATCTACTTACGGAACCTTTGAAGATGCTTCCGAATAATGCCGCCGACCAAAGTTATGCAGGCTCAGCAAGGTCAAGCATATTCCGGTGGTCGGGCTTTCAATATATTATAAACGGAGAGACGGAAAGGGGGCGGACTTTAATACTGGAAGCTCCATCGGCTGCGACGAGTTCGAAACTAATTCATGGGTGACACATCGCACCCTCTTGATCGTAATGAAAAATCGTTAAAAAAATCATAGAAATAAATATGCGATCGGAAACGAAATCAGATCCGGCCACCGTCAACTTCCGAGCATGTCAAGGTCCTTCAAATAATGTATCCTCGAGCAGGGACGTCCTCGGCGAAGATTCCGTAGTTTCGGAACTCCGCCAGCAATAAAGTATGTCGGGACAGGACGATTCATGGGCGGTTATTATCATCGATCTGGGCGAAATGCACCGTGACACGGTGTTC